AATATTTTTGTCATGGACCGACTCGAACCGTTACCCTGAGAGAGAGTGATATAAACCTTACAAACGTAGGTAGAGTCATTTGGCTCCGAAGGCCAGGTTTCATATTTTTTTCTTTTTCAAATATATAATTTAAAAGTAAAAAATAAAAAATTTTAATATAATAATATTATAATTTAAAATTTAATTATTATTAAAATATTAAAAACACCTAATCAATAATATATCAGACCTGACGGTGGATCGTAATAATAGGGGACATCCTTTGTCAGGTTTTGCAGGACTTTGGGGTGCCTAGCAATTGCATTTCATTTATTATGTTTTGTACCTCATCTTCTGAATTCACATTGGAATGAAGAAAAAACTAAGCACTTGTATCCCATCTCGAGGAGCGCCAGGTGACCCACTCTTGCTTTAATCTATCTGTTCTTTGACTTGACTCTATGAATGTTTTTGGTCTTTTCTCATTAATAATAACCCTATTAGTAACCCTAGAAAATAGGGAGAGCATGAGAGAGCAAAGCACAGTATGAGTGTAGCATAATTACTATGAGTTGACGAGAGATGATATCTATTTACATTATAAATTATAAAAATTTAAAATTATGTTAACGTAAAAAGTTTTAAAGGGACGAAAGAGATTATATCATATTATATATAAAATTCTAGATTTCATAATAAATCAATTATTATATTGAAAAAAAAATTTGAATTTTTAACTATTTTTTTGAGTTGAATCGAGTTTGTTTTAATTAATATTTAAAAGGAGGTTTTAGTTTTAAATAAGGTTATCAGACAAGAGAATGTGTGGCAAATTTTGAAAGGAACTTTGATCAATTGTTAGGTGTTCCACCACATTAGGAAACTATCTATGACTTTTTAAATTGTAATGTGGGAAGTTACAACTTGAGAAAAGGGAAATAAAAAGGAAATTTTGGATTAGAGAACACATGATTAACTCCTACACACAACTTGTAAATTTTTATATTTTTAATTTCTCTATGATTACTCACTTTTGCCTACAAAATTTGAATTTTAGCACAATTTTTAGTATATTTAGGTTGTTGTTCATTATTTTGATAGTCAAATTAGTTCGTGTATTCGTTTCAACAATTTTGCTTCACATAATGAACTTCAAGTTTTTAAATTTTTTTAAAGTACTATTTCTTTTTTTACTATAATTAATTTAATATTTATGATAAGTAACATTTCAAATGATTACTTATATAGCATTTACGCTTCTTCTTAATTTCAAGTATGTTAATTTAATCACTATTCACATTTAATTTTAATGTTATTTAGGATTAAATCTCAAAATCTACAGTAATTTAATTTTTAGATCTGTTTTAAATAATAATTTAATCTAATAATAAATATATTTAATTTAGTTTGGGTACATCTCTTTCTTGCAAATTTACTTTCATCTACATGCTATTTAACTCATTTAGAATCTATTAACTTTGTTTCATAGCAATATTTAAGTTTTTGGAGTTGTTCAAGGTAAATTTAATAACTCATTTTGCAAGAAAGCATCCCTCCCTTTCACAAATTGTTTGTGGGTGCATATTTTAATTTTAAACCAACATTCTTCTCACAACCCGCAAGAAAGTTGACCATACGAAAGGAGAGGGTGATTGGAAAATCATTTTTTCTTACTTCTAGCAAAGTAAATGATATACCTACATTCAAATTCTGCATACGTGAGGTCACTAGAGTATTTTTAAGGAAACAATACCTATTGAAATAGCAAAATTTTTTTACTTAATTAAAGTGTTAAAAAGAGTTTTTTTAGCTATGACTACTTAATAAGCGATTCTTAAAGTTTATTAAAAATTTTTAGATGTGTGAGAAAAAATTTTTTGCGAGAAATTAAATGAGAATTTTTAAGAGAAATTATTAGTTTTTAGATGAGATTAAGATTGAATTTTTAATATTGTAATTTTTTTAATATTAGAATTTTTTTTATATTCATGGTTTTTTCTTCACTTTCAAAGGTTTTTCACGTTAAATTATTTTTTTTTATATTAGCTTATTTTATTATTTAATCCATTGACATAATTTTGTGGTTATGTTTTTTGTTTATTGATC